TGATAAATTGATTTTTTTTAAATATTCAATAAAAAAATGTTTTGCATAACTGATTTCAAAAAAAAAAGAAGAGGAAATAACTATATGTTTAATGATAACTATTGTTTTGAAAACATTTTTAATATGATGATGAGAAAACAAAAACAAAATTGTGAAATTTATTTTGAAAATACATATATTTTGATAACATAAAAATATAAAATACTTGTTAAACTAATATATCTGAAAGAGCTTATTCATTTGAATAGAGTTTTCATTTGGGTAAGTGGTTGACAAATTCACATAGCATTTTAAAGAAAATTATCAGTCTTGGCGTTGGTTAATTGTAAAATAATTTTGATATTTTTAGTAAAAAGAAATTCGATAAATTACCAAAGACTAGATGTAGCTGTTTATAGTTGAGAGTGAACCAATATAAATATTTTAATGTTCTTTTCTCTCTCATAAATTCTTTTACATTTACTTGTCATTGCATTTATATTATATATATGTTTTTAAAAAATAATATTTTACTTTTGTTTGAGTATTGTGATCAATTTCTTGAGAAATTAAAGATGGTGCTTTAAGGAAAAGTTTTTTAAAGATCCAAGGAAACTCTTTTCCAAGAAAAATATTCAATTAACTCCCTCTTAAATTAATCATCTATCATTAGATATTGTTTACATTATAAAATAATGTAACATGCAGCAGTGTTGTACATAAAATATTGTGTACATTATAAACAAAAGAAATCAAATGACTTACGTACTCTTTAGTGTATCGTTGTGTGATCAAATCTCATTTGTAACCATTTTCCCATTTTTTAAATCATATATTTCAATATTACTTCAATGCCTTTTTTTTTCTTTTCAACAGCAAATAGTTAATATTATTGAGATAAACAGGTACAAGGAATATCTAAACCCTTTTACACCAGATATATGAAACAATTAACAAGGAAAAGATTGAATTACAATAGCCTCTATAAAGAGTACGGCCCAGCCAACTAAGAACAATAGTTACATCAATGTCAACTAATAATCAACTAACAAATGGATCAAATTTGTTTAAATTTAAAAATTGAGGGGTCACACACTTAAAATAATAGGACTTCGTGAATTGAAAATTATAAGAGAATATTTCTGAAAATTAAGTCAATGTATCATATATGGAATTTTATTTTATTACTAATAAAATACGATTATTATTAATAATAATATTTGCAAGTAAATTAAATATTTATTATGTTAATTGTGATAGTTTAAATTTATTATTTATTTATTTATTATTATTATATGATGCCCACGTGTGTTAAGGATTGTTCTCACCTAAAGTTGGTTTGATGACAACTTTCTCGGCGAATCGGTGAGTCTCTTTTACTTATGCAAGTTGGATATTCCAAGGAGGATGATACCTGTAAAAGAGACTTCATTACTTAAGTTAGTCCTTTGTAGGTATGAATGTTTCGTATATATAATGCACGTACCTTGATGATGATTAAGATTTTTTCCTTATATGAACATCTTGTAGGTTAAGATATGATGAGATTGTGCATTTATCTTTTTATTTTGTCAATTGAGGAATGACTTAATCTTTTGGTCGATGTGATTGAATGGTTTAAATTTTTTTTTCATAGTAAAAATTAAGTTATGTTTTTAAGATGTCATTATCTCACTACAATGCATGGAATAGTGTCTAAAAGATGGTGCCATTACTAATGAACAATAATTTAAAAAATATTTAAAATGAAACTATATAGTATTGGTCAAAACAAAATTAAATGATCACAAGTTATTTCCATATAGTTGAAGATTTTTTACCTTCTCCATCTATTCTAACTCATTGACTATCATAGTTGAAACTTGCATGGTCTTCCTGCCATGAGAATTAGCCACTACATTTACTTTATTGGGGTGATACATCAATTAAAACTCATAATCTTTAAGAAATTATATTTATAATCTTTATTTCATGTTCAACTTCTTTTGATTGAACGTATTTCATGATGTAATGATCACTAAACATGTTTCACATGGACACATAAATGTATTGTATCCAAATCCTTATTGCAAACATCACCAACAAGTTTAAAATCATGAGTAGGACATTTCCTTTCAAAAGTTTTCGGTTGTGTTGATGCATATAAGTTACCATCTTTTGATGTTGCATCAACACATACCTTAAGCCTTGATATATAGAAAAACTTGGAAGACTCGGGGTCCGGCAAAATCAACATATATAGATTAATTATGTAGTCAAATGTTCTTTGAACTTCTGAAAATTTCTTGTGTAATTTTATGTTCATAGAAAAACTTGATACTTCTAGATGAGTTGAGTCAACAAAGTCATTATCTTCGGGAATCATTTGGTGAATCATTTCACTACTAGAATTTTTCTTATTACATGCGACTTTTCCTGTGAATTTTTCAAAAAAATTCGCAGGAAACATTGTTCCTGCAAATTTTTCTGCGAAATTTTATCTGCAAGTAATACCTTCGTGGATAATATTTTTTTGCGAATTTTAAAATTCGCAGGAAATTTTCCTGCGACATTTATTGCGAAAAAAATTCGTAAGAAACTTTCCTTCAAAAAAAAATTTGCAGGAAATTTTCCTACAAAAAAAATTCGCAAGAAAATTCGCAGGAAAGTTTCCTACGAATTTTTTCGCAAGAAATTTTGCAGGAATATTTTTTACGAAAAAAATTAAAGAAATTACTATAAATTCTATCAATAATTTTTCAACTTTCAAATGCTCACAATGAATTCATCCGAAGCATTTGTTTCCATGCCTCTAACATGTGATACATAATCTTTCAAATTCTAAGATTGTAGATTATAAGCGTAACACTCAACTATATAAATTAACTTGTAAGGTAAGTGTTGCCCCAACTTATACTCTTTAATTGCTTTATTTTCAATCGATGTGGGACTTGAAGTTTTTTTAAAATATTAAACTTGTAAAATTTAAATATTTTTTTTATTTTTCCTGCGGATTAAAATTTGCAGGAAAATCCGCAGGAAAAGTTACCTGCAAATTTTTTCTACCATTTAGTAAACATTACTTGCAAAAAAAATTTTGCAAGAAAATCTACAAGAAACAAAATAAAATTCTTACAATATTTTTTGCAAATTTTTACCATGAAAAAAAAATTTCTATGATTATTAAAATTATAGCAAAATTTGTAAGAAATATTTGTAAATTATTTTTCGCAAATAAATTCGCAAAAAATTTCTGCAAATATTATTTTGCAGGAAAATTCGCAAAAAATTTCTGCGAATATTTATTTGCAAGAAAATTCGCAAAAAAAATTTGCAAATATTTTTTTGCAGGAAAATTTGCAAGAAAATGACACTTTTCTAATAGTATTTGTACTAACTAGCTAACCAATCAAAAATTTTAATCTCATTATCATCTTCGGTTATCCCCACTAAAGCATTGTCTTTACTTTTGTTAGATCCACAATAATCTTACGAGATATAATGTAACCTAAGAAGTTGATCACCTCTTCTAAGTAGAACTCATTATTAGACAACTTGGCATATGAATGTGTCTTCTTCAAGACTTGTAAATCATAGGTGAGGCGCTCCTTGTGCTCTTCTCAACTACAGGAATATAAGAGATTGTTGTTAATAAATATAACAACAAAAATATCTAGGAATAGATACAATATTTTATTCATGTAATCCATGAATATGAAAAATGTATTTGTCAAGTCAAATGGCATCATAACGTACTCGATTTGTTTTTCATCCTTAACTTAGATTTGGTGGCAACTAGATCACATATCATGAACTTTGAGAAAATCGTAGCTCCTCCTACAACTAATGCATATAGAATAACTTATCATTGATAGTGAATGCTTCTTGATTGTAGTCTTGTCTAATTGACAATAATCTACTTCTCGAACCATTATCTTTCTTTTTCACTAGCAGTACATGTGCTCCCTAGAGGTAAATATTGGTCTTATATCATATACTTATCTAAAAATTCCTCAACATGTCTCTTCAACATTAGTAGGTTCAAATTAATAGGGTAAATCCTTTTAGATATGTGAATATTATATTATCCTTCTTATATATATATATATATATATTAACACACAAATGTAAATTGACTTATTCTTTTTTATAAATTCTTCTTTTTTACTTTGACATTATTTCTATTTCACTGTGGTTTTTTTTTCATAATAGTTATTAGCTGATTTTTTGAATTTGTTTTCATCAAATTTTTATTAATGACATGCCGAAAAGTCATGATCAAGGCTCTTTCATTGTACTCGATGGCTCTCCACCACTACCATGGCAGCTACGTACCCACCTAAAGAATCACCTGATCCAATGGGATTATCTTCGATCAGTACCTATAAATCCTTTAAACTCTAGTTCAATTCATAATTATTCTTGGTGATATTAAAATATTTGTACTAATGAACAAGAATGGGTCCCTGAAGTTTCAAAAAAAAAAAAAAAAAACTAGTATGTGCAGTTTTAAATCCCATCAATAGAATGCATCAAATTGATTTTAAAAGATAAAATTATCATTTTTAATTAAACAAATTGAAGAATGAAATTGAAGCAGTTCTTTTCAGAACTGTAGAAGACCTTAATCCGTACTAACTGTAACTGGTAAGACCTCTTAATCAAATGGCAGAGGGCTATATATATATGTACCAAAATCAAGTTTACAGTGGGTTGACGGTCAAACACCCCAATTTGGGATCAAATTTGAATCGATCGTCGTTTGCGAAAGGTAAGTCCAACAAGTGGGAATCAAATCACAGGCCATTTTCCCGCGCATCATCGATGAAGTTCACGGGATTGCTTCACTGATCACATGCCAAGTGGTCGATATCTTTATAAAGCAAAAGTGGAAAACCACCATGGTTTTCGAATACTTAATAATGAAAAATTTCCTATTGGGAATTGCAAAGCCTATCACATTTCATGTCGATTCACTTGTACTGCCAGCTACTCAAACTTGGTTCACATGTCGTCTGGTGCCTCAAACATCATCAAAACTTACGACAAATATTCTTGAATCTCGAGCAAAAAAGTACACCAACCTTTAACCCCTATATATAACCGCATCGCAAATTACTCCCCCTTCACACAAACAAATTACAGTTGTAATTAAGCAACATTATTAGACGATGAAGTCTTCTAGATCTTCAACACTTGCTCTCTTTTTTACAATCAATTTGCTTTTCTTTGTCATGGCAAGTGGCTGCTTCACTTGTACACAACCTAAGCCAACGCCTAACACATTTCCTTTCCCAAACCCTAGTCCTGCCACGAAGAGTTGTCCTAGGGACGCACTTAAGTTAGGAGTGTGTGCCAACGTGCTTAATGGACCAATTGGTGCAGTGGTGGGGTCACCACCGGACCACCCATGTTGCTCGGTGCTGGAAGGACTTCTTGATCTTGAAGTTGCGGTTTGTCTCTGCACTGCCATCAAAGCTAACATACTTGGCATTAACCTTAACATCCCCATTTCTCTTAGCTTGATCCTGAACGCCTGCGAGAAGAGTCCACCCTCTGACTTCCTGTGCAACTAGACATAGTTAAGCACGCCATTCTCAATTCACTACTTTCATGTGTTTCTTTATTTGTGATTGTGTGCTCTAAAATGTTGTGGTTTGTACCGTGCTAACTCATTTACTGAGAATGCAGTTGTCCCCGTAAGATGTAACCGTAGTTTAATTTGACTTCTGGTGTAGTGTTGAATGACTTTCTAAGTTTTGCAATTTAACGAATTAATTGTTCTGTATTGTGTTAAGTTGTTAACTGAGGATTCTCCTTCCATTTAGATAGGGTACTGCCACTATATATCAAGCCTTATTTAATTTCTTTTTGCCGCTTTTCTCAAAAACTAAAATTTGTTCTCAATAGGTAAAATAAGTAGTTTTCATTCATTTAAGTTTTACGGTGAATGAATGGCCACTGTAATCACGACCATGAGTAATGATGTATGGACATTTATATAATATATATACTTAATTAGTATTTATGGTTTTATTTTTTGTCTGTATATTATGACATCACATTAACTATTATATTTATAAATTTTTTCCTATCTCTCTCTCTAGGAGGCTATAGACCGTGTCCATGAGGACCATGAATCATTTTTTAAGTTTTTAGCTAGCAAGGTTTTTATTTCTAATAAAGAGATTTTAGATATACTTTAATATTATAAATTAGAATATATAGCCTAACCAATCAACTCACATAAGGTTATTTTAACTTAAAAAACTGTCTTAAGATCAAGATCTAGTTACATTAAATAATAGGAAGAAAAGTGAGATGAGTAAATCCAAACCACACATAACCACATAAAAAAGTCACAATTTTTAAATTTAATTTTAATCATTTATGTATGATTTGAATTTCTTTTCATCATCTCACACAAGCATTATTCTCGGTTGATATGTGATACACATTTGACAATTATATAATTGTAGTAACATAGTAAATTGAATAAAAATTCAAGTTATCGAATTTACAAGAATTTGAGTTTATAATTGTATAATACAATTTTGGTACTAAATAGATAATTTAATATGAGTTTGAAATTGTTCAACAAGAAATATTTAAATTTAATGGAAATAAAGTAAAATAATAAATTATGACAAATTTGAATTTATAATAAGCACATTTTCAAGATTATTTAATCTCACTAATTTTTCTTATGTAAAATCTCTTAATTTTTCATTCAATGTTGTAATTATACAATTGATTCGATAGCCCATAATTATATTTAAACCCTAATTTATTAGGTGAAAAATTCTATGTTGTTTAAAGAAATCTCAATTCCTTAGTAATTTTTGCTAAACAATCTTGTATTAAGATCAAGGACCAAAAGTTGATCAATAAGGTTTATCCCAATTTCTTGATAATAAATGCTATCAATGTTTTATATCTTAGTCATAACTTCGTAAAGGTTTCCTAATCTTGGTTAAAAATTATAAAATCGTGAAGAGTTTGATCGGGTCACAACAAGCATTAATAAATCCAAAAGTAAAATGATTAGTTAAATAAATACTTCATTGAAGAAAAAATACAAAATTTTTTTACATAATTCAAGCAGTTACCTCAATTTTCAAAAATAAAGAATTTAGTCACTCAAGATTAAGGATTATATAACAATAGAGGGACCATTGAACGATTCATGATTACAAAAGTAACCTCATAAAAACTCTCTCTAGAATTATGCTAAGAAAAATATTAATAATTGGAATGGGATTACATAGACATCCTAGAAACCTTATTTTTATAATAGTTTTTATTGGCTTTTAGGTATGATATGCTCGCTCAAAGTGTTCATGTGGTTCGTTTTAAGCAAGCATGTACGTGCTTTTAAGGGTGTTCTCTGACTTAACTCGCTAAGAGCACTCTTGTGACAACTTTGAGCAAATTTTGCTCAATTAGAGCGTCCAAGTAGTTCATTCTGAGCGAGTTATTATTGTCTTTTAGGATTGCTCTTTGACTTAGCTTGCTTAGAGCAAACTATTGGTCACTTTAAGCAAATTTCACTAGCTTGGAATGATGATTTCCTTTTTAGATTTGTAACTTTCAAATTATTTTCTTTCTATATTATATCTCAACAAAGAAAAATATTAAAAATACCGAATGTTAAAATAATTAAATCCCAAAATGAAATTAACACGTAACTAAGTGTTTTCTGACAAAAATAAGATTTAAAAGTATATAAGATATATTAATAATTATCTAATTTGGATAAAAAATTGTATGAATATTTGACAATTATCAAAATACACCAAACTTAAAATCTAGCTTATCCCCAAACAATTTAAACTTTAAACACAATCTTAAAATGTATTAGGAACACTTAGAATGAACAATTTTTATTATTCAACAATTCTTTTCCAAACTATTCAAGCTATATCACATTATCTTTGTAGTAATTAATGACATCAAATTCACACAAGAAATGCATAAAGAAATTTCTTAAATACCAGTCCTTATGACACTCATAGTTTATGTAATATAATACACTTACTCCCTTATCTTTGTAATTTCAAGTGTAATTATATGGTTAGTGTTTTACTCTACTCACACATTTCAACACCATCCAATTTAATTTTGCTTTTCATCTTTCCTTTTTAGAACAATATTGTATGAAAATCATAAGTGTGCAAATATCACTAAAAACTTTCTTTTGGCTTGTAATGTGACTAGGCTAACAAGTAATTTTTTTTTCTTCTGAAAATCAAAAACACCTAAGGCTTAAAGAGAACAATTAGTTGTTATATATTATTTTTAATTTCTTCCATATTTCCCCAAATCACTCTTTCTAATTTCAAAATTTTGCACTTTTCTTCTACTAATAAATATCTTATTTTTATTTGTATATTGATTTTTTTTTTCTTAGAAATTCGGGGTAGTACTTGGATCATCATCGACCTTTCTGATATTTTTGTGACTGTAACATACCCACACCAAACTTAAAATGTTTACTTGTTGGTATAGTTTATGCTCACACCAAACTTATAACTTTTTTCACTTATTTGTAACTAAATTATTCTCCATATTCCTAAAGGTGTAGGATAACAATTTATTTTTCTGATAGGTTCAAGTTCTAAAAGAAAAAACACTTTAGTATTTGGCTCAAACGAGTAGTAAGTGTTAAAAATAACAAATATTTTTCAGGTTGACTTTTTGGTTAGTGACTTAATAAAAAAATTTAAAATTACCTTTATCATATCTCAACACATAGATAATAACTTCATACAATTGCAAGACTAAAGCAAAACCAATTGAACAGAACAGAATGTGAACACTCAATCCTTACTATTTGTTGGCCTTTCACTCACCGGCTAGACTTTTTTAAAAACATAATCATTCATGTCATATTTTCCAGTCTCACTGAAATAAACACAAGCGTTCAAGTGATTACACCTCTGCTATTACCATAGAAGATTCTTATTTTACCAAATATAACAATTAATTACTAATTGACAATAAAAGTTGTGTTCAACAATATTTAATTGTTCTCTAAAATATAACTTGCATATACATTTACTGCAACAAAATCAACAATTAACTCTATTTGGTAAAAGTGTTATGTTGGAGTTCTCTTAAATAGAACTTACAAAACTCTCATAGGAAGGAAGGAGAGACGCTAACAAAATTGTATCTACATCTTCATTTTTCATTTTCATTTCAATGTTACAGAGTTTCAACAAAATATAATTTAATTCATCAAGATGATCTTTTAAAGGTGTATCTTTTTTCATACTAAGATCAAAGAGTGTCACCTTTTTAGCCGTAACTTGTTGCAAATGAACTTTATCATGAATTTTTTTTTTCAACCAACAAAAGAAGAATTAGCGAGTGTGCCTTTTCTTCCTTATGTTCAAGAAAATTTTGTTCTAAGTGTGATGTTTGCTCAAAGAGAAGTTACCAAACACCTTGTTTCTTAAACAAATCTTTCATCTTGATGCGCCAAAAGTTGAAATTGTTCTTCCCTTTAAGCTCGACAAACCTACATCTAAAGACAAAAGACCCAAAAAGAAAAATTCATCACAATTAATGGAGAAAGATTATTAGATAAATTTTGATAGTGAAGTATTGATGCAAAAGCCTTCATGACAAATCCCTTAAGAACCCTTCTTCATCTTTCTTTGCGTGTAGATTAGCCATGAGTGACTAATTCATCACCTATGTTAGGAATTGAAGTAGCTGAATCCACTCCATGTAATCTTCTATATTATTCAACAGAGTATTTTATTTAATTAATTTTTCTTCTTCTTGTTCTTAATGTTTATTATGGGATTGGTCAACCATAATATGAACTCACAGATTTAGCTGTCGTTGGAAAACAATTTTAAAATCACGATCTAAAAGGAATCTTAATAGTACTTATCCCTAGGAATAGTATAAGGATTATTAGCCATTAAAACCTTGTATCTTAATATAAATTGTTTAATTTATTTTTATCTAAGAATTAGAATTTTGATTAAAGGATTTAAAAATTTTCACCTAAGAGAAATTTGGGTTGAAATAATATATTGTGGATTATTAGACTAACAAGAACTTAATATTGAATCCAATAATTGGTTGATGAATGTAAGAAAAATTAGTAGAATCAAATATCTAACGTTCTTTAATATTACAAACAACTTAGAATCTGCCTTCTAAATTAAACTTACAAAAAGAAAATTTTACTCTTATGCAACACAACCTTCAATTTCATACTTTCCTTATTAGCACTAAAATTCAATTAATTAATTCAATTTATTTTGCTCGCTCCTAATACGGAAAAAGGCACCGATTACGTGCCAATATGTATGCAATGATCTACCTAAAGTACTTCTATTCACCATCAATTATACATGCAGGGGATGTTTTGCACAAATGTGTAGACTATTTTGTTTGAGATATAATCAAGTATCAAATGTAGATGTCTTTCTCTAAAATAAAAAATAAAAAATAAAAAATTAAACCGCAGTTCCATATGTTACATGGAGAACTATAACTTGTTCCTCGGGTCCAACATCCACAGAATTTTAATTTACTTTTTAGTTCACATTCTCAGTGCTCTCTAACATGCATATGTTTTTTGGTTGTTTCACGGAAAGATTCTTTCCGATGGATGTTATGTATCATTCAAGTTGCCAAAGAAAAATCATTAGTTGACATGGAAACAAGCATAAGTGACAAATCTACCGACAGAGAATATTTAATTAGATGGGGAAAAAAATGGTTCAGGGGAACTCACAAGTGCGAATCTAGGGCTAGATTGTACTTGGCATTGGCAAGGTTGCTGTGTGGTTTTGTCGTATCTGC